CCGGGAGGTGGGCCCATAGAGGGGTAGGGCTGGGAGAGGGCGGGGCATTGAAGTGTGGGGTTTGGAGGGCAGGGATGGGGGCCTGCAATGGTGGGTGGGGCCTGGGGAGATTGACACACGGGGGGCGGGGAGTCAGGTTTGGGCTGGAGGGAGGAGCGGGAATTGCAGGGGTGACACTGGAGAGGGTGGGGACTCTTGGGGGGCTGAGGGGGGGATAAACACCCCCTCACGGCCCTTTCTCACATAGGGTGACTCTGGGGGCCCTCTCGTGTGCAACGGCGTGGCCGAAGGCGTGGTCACCTCAGGATCCCGCGTGTGTGGCAACCGCAAGAAGCCGGGCATCTACACTCGGGTGGGGAGCTACGCGGCCTGGATCGATAGCGTTATGGATGGAGGCGCGGTCTCCGAAGGAGAGCCTGAGGGGCAGGGGCAGGAGGAGCAATAAAGTCATTCACTCCTGCATCCCATCAGACTTTATTTTCATTTTTTTCTCTTTCTATTTTGTTTATTCATTCGTTTTAAGATTCCACATATAAGTGAAACTATATGGTACTTGTCTTTCTCTGTCTGACTTGTTTAACTTAGCGTAATCCCCTCTCGGACTAGGTCCATCCATGCTGTTGCGAATAACAAGAGTTCATTCTTTCTCGTGGCTGAGTAATATTCCATTGGATATGCACCACATTTTCTTTTTACGTTTGTCGATCGATGGGCGCTTAGGTTGTTTCGTATTTGGCTATTGTAGATAATGCTGCAATGAACACAGGGATGTAAATGTCTTCAGCTAAATATCCAGAATGCGGGGCCATACGGCAGCCCTATTTTTAATGTGAGGAAATTCCATCCTGTTTTCTACAGTGGCTATATCAGTTTACAATCCCACCAACAGTGCCCGAGGATTCCCTTTTCTCCACACCTCACCAACACTTGCTGTTTGTTGATTTATTATTATTTTTTAAAAATCCTGTTACAACCACTTTCTTGAATTGATTTTAGAGAGGTAGGAAGGGGGAGAGAGAGAGAAACATTAATGTGAGAGATTAGGAAGGGGGAGAGAGAGAGAAACAATGTGAGAGAAAAACATGGATTGATTGCCTCCCATATGCGCCCCTGGGAATCAAACCTGTGACCTTCGGGGGCATGGGACAACTCTCCAAACAACCGAGCCACACTGGCCAGGGCATGTCTGTTGATTTATTGATGAGAGCCATTCTGACAGGGATGAGGTGGTGTCTCATTGTGTTGTTTGGGTTTTTTTTTTTAAATAGTTTTATTGCTTAAAGTATTACAAAGAGTATTAAATCTTCACCCGAGGAGTGAGGATATTTTTCCACTGATTCTTTTATTTTTTATTTTTTAAAAAAATGTTTTTATTGATTTCAGGGAAGAAGGGACAGGGAGAAAGAGATAGAAACATCAATGATGAGAGAGAATCACTGATCGGCTGCCCCCTGCACGCCCCTTGACTGGAATTGAATGGCCTGCCCTACCCCAAGTTGTTTGGGTTTTTTTTTATCTTCACCCTAGGAGTGAAGATATTTTCCCACTGATTCTTTTATTTTTTTAAAAAATATTTCTATTGATTTCAGGGAGGAAGGGACAGGGAGAGAGAGAGAGAAACATCAATGTGAGAGAGACACACCTATTGGTTGCCTCCCACACTCACCCCAACGGGGGGAGGGAGGCAGGCAGAGATGGAACCTGCAACCCAGGTATGTGCCCTTGACTAGAAATAGAACCTGAGACCTTCCCTTGTGCAGGCCAACATTCTAACCACTGAACCACGCTGGCCAGGGCTCTTATTTTGGTTTTGATTCACATTGATGATTGGTGCCGCTGAGCATCGTCATATGTCCGTTGGCCCTCTGTATGTTCTTTCTGGAGAAATTATTATTTAGGTCTTCTGCCAAATTTTTAATTGGATTGTTTGTTTTATGATGTTGAGTTATATGAGTTCTTTACATATTTTGAATATTAACCCCTTATCAGAGAAATCATTTTCAAATATCTTCTTCCATTCAGTAAGTTGTCTTTGTTTGTTGTTGATGGTTTCCTTTGCTGTGCAAAACTTGTTTTTGTTTTGTTTTGTTAATTCTCATCCGAGGATATTTTCCCATTGATTTTTAGAAAGTGTGGAAGTGAGAGGGAGAGACAGAGAGAAACATCGATGTGAGAGAGACACTTTGATTGGTTGCCTCCTGCATGCACCCTGACCAGGGCTGGGGAACCTGCAACCACGGTACATGCCTTGACCGGAATTGAACCCGGGACCTTTCACTCCACGGGCCAACGTTCATTGAGCCAAACCTGCTAGGGCTGCAACACTTTTTAGCTTGATGTAGTACCGTGTTTATTTTTTCTTTTGTTTTTCTTACCTGGGGGAACATATCCAAAAAGATATTGATAAGAGTGATGTAGAAGAGTTTACTGCCTATGTCTTCTAGTTTTATGATTTGGGGTTGTACATTTTAGTCTTTAATCCATTTTGAATTTATTTTTGTGAGAAATCAGCTGATAGCCTTATGGGACTTCCTTTGTATGTAATTCTTTTTTTTTTCCTCTTGCTGCCTTGAAAATTGTCTCTTTATCTTTAACTTTTGCCATTTTAACTACAACATGTCTTGGTGGGGTCTCTTTGGATTCATCTTGTTTGGAACTCTCTGTGCTTCCTGCACCATGATATCTGCTTCCTTTCCCAGATTAGGAAAGTTTTCAGCCATTATTTCCTTTAAAAAATTATTAGAGAGAAATACATTGATTGTTGTTCCTCTTATTTATTATTCATGCATTCATTGGTTGATTCTTGTATGTGCCCTGCAGACCAGAGATCAAACCCGAAACCTTGGCATATCCAGAAGACACTCTAACCATTTAAGCTACCTGGCCAGGGCCCAGCCATTATATCTTTAAGTAAAGTCTCTGTTGTTTTCTTTCTTTCTTCTCCTTTTGGGATCTCTATAATGTGAATGTTGGAGTTCATCTTGTGAACTCTCTGTGCTTCCTGCACCATGATATCTGCTTCTTTTCCCAGATTAGGAAAGTTTTCAGCCATTATTTCCTTTAAAAAATTATTAGAGAGAAATACATTGATTGTTGTTCCTCTTATTTATTATTCCTGCATTCATTGGCTGATTCTTGTATGTGCCCTGCAGACCAGAGATCAAACCCGAAACCTTGGCATATCCAGAAGACACTCTAACCATTTAAGCTACCTGGCCAGGGCCCAGCCATTATATCTTTAAGTAAAGTCTCTGTTGTTTTCTTTCTTTCTTCTCCTTTTGGGATCTCTATAATGTGAATGTTGGAGTGCTTGATGCTATCCCAGAAGTTCCTTAAACTATCCTTGTGTTTTTCAATTATTTTTTTCTTCTGTTCTGAATGGTTGTTTTCCACTAGTCTGTCTTCCAGGCCACTGAGCCATTCTTCTGTGTTAGCTAATCTGCTGTTAATTCCTGCTAATGTGGTTTTCATTTCACTCAGCATATGCTGAGTGGCCAGATTATTATGACCACCTGACGTTTGTAGGCAAATTAGCTATAATTTCACGCTGAAGTTGCTAAAGGGCCAGACCATTATAAATGTCTGAATAGCACAATTTACCTAAGTATCATTGCTGATCAGGTTCATCCTATCATGTTGATGGCGTATCCCAATGGAGATGGCTTCTTCCAACAAGACAATGCGCCATGCCACGGTGCTCGTATTGTGCAGGAGTGGTTTCAAGAACATGAGGGAGACTTTACCTTGCTTAGGTGGCCCCCACAATCACCAGATCTCAATCCAATTGAGCATTTGTGGGACGAAGTTAAAAGAGCCATCAGGCAGCTGGTTCCACAACCATCAAATCTCACAGAACTGGACAGTGCCATTCATCAGGCATGGTGTCAGATTCCTCGCATCACCTTTCAACATCTCATGGAGTCAATGCCAAGAAGAATCACCGAAGTACTGATGGCAAAAGGTGGCCCAACAAAGTACTGATGGGGTGGTCATAATAATCTGACCAGTCATAATAATCTGGCCACTCAGTGTGTATATATATAATTTATTTTTTTTGCAGAGAGGAAAGGAGAGGGATAGAGAGTAGGAACATTGATGAGAGAGAAACATCGATCAGCTGCCTCCTGCACACCCCCTACTGGGGATGTGCCCGCAACCAAGGTACATGCCCTTGACCAGAATCAAACCTGGAACCCTTCAGTCCGCAGGCCAACGCTCTATCCACTGAGCCAAACCGGTTAGGGCAGGTTATTGTATTCTTTAGGTCTGCTTGGCTCTTTCTTATACTTTCTAATTCTTTGTTGAAGTTCTCCCTAAGTTCCTCTATTTTACTCAAGTTTGGGAAGCATCCTTATGACCACTCCTTTGAAATCTTTTTTTTAGTGGACTTATTATAATTTACAGTTTGTATTTTGTTTTACATAGTCTCTATAAAATTGTGTGCTCTACTTTACCCTGTTTCATGAGCACTTTCCTATGAGTATTTCTAGTTAGTATTTTAATAATCATGTCACATTTCTTTGTGTCAGTGCATCATACTACTTAAACATCACTCTGTTCTGTTATATACTTGGTTCCTAAGAGGTTCTCAGTATGTATTTGTTGAAAGAATGCATGAATATCACAAACTTATATTCTGTGCATCTTTTCAATATTTCAAATTAAGGGGCAGAAACATTTTCCTCCTACTCTTC